CCAGCTCACATTGGAGGTACTTGACTTGCCCTGCAAACACAAGGGGCAAGACTCAGAGTCTACACAGACAATGGTTCTGCCTTTACTGACCTCAAGCCATTCAGATTTCAGTGTAGGAAGGATCTGTCTCCAGCTCCCTCACTCCTCAGAAGTTCTGTAGACAGAGAACTATATTTATACCATCCACCCAAGGCAGGGGGATTACCAGAAACAAAGAACAGGAGGGTCTCACCTTCCATCACCTCTTTGACTTGTGTCACTGCATGGAGCTGGATTTCCAGGTCACTCTTGACCATCTCCAGCTGGGACAGGCGGTGTTGAGTCTCCAACAGGCTGGATTCCAGGGCCTCTTTTGCTGACCTGAAAGTTGCCAATACAGAGTGAAATGAATTTCTTGCTCCTAATATACACAGGGAGTTATTCCATTAAAAAGTGGTTCAGGATCTCTACAGCTGAGTACAGAAAATGAGTTGCATGGAAACTTGTCTACAGAAAGTGTATTTCTGCATTAAAACAGCAATGCAGGCCCTCCAAGGGAATGCCCAGGCTTTCCTTATGACCCAGAATAACACCCAAAGCCCAGCTGAATTTGATCTCAGTAGCCACATCTTAAGTCTTAGAGCCCTGATACAGCAGAAGCACAAAATCTTCTTCCTTCCCTTTGTTACTTCTCCATGACATGTCTCCAAGCAGCAAGTGGTAAGAAGTACAGGACCCAGACATCAGTGGTGGCCAAAAATTCCCAAAGACTGGCAAGAATACAAAAGAGGTTTCCCTGCTGTTGGTGTAACCAGCTCTAGGGTCTGCACCACAGGTTAACAGGAGTTAGCTGAGAAATTATGGCCCTCAAAATTTTCAGCATGAGCTTCTATCTTTACCCTGAATGGCAGAGTCCTGCTCACAACATCTACATGGAATAGCCTTGAATTCTGAAGATCCCATGTGAAGCCACTTGGTAAGGAAAAGATCTATGTTCAAACGCACACAACAAGAAACCAAAAGCAAAGAGAAACTCCAGGTTTCAGCAAACATCTGCGTGGTTTAAGTATTTCCCAATTCAGAGCCAAGAGGGCTTGCTTTGGACTTCACACAGGAATGTGCAAGGGGACATAAGCATGAGCTCAAGGTTCAGAACTTTGCTAGCTCCAGCTGTCAGAAGGTAACACTCAAATCATGGAATAAGTTTTGGGCTTTTTTTGCTCGAGATGCTTCCATTTTCTGGCTATGGAAGGTGAAAACATCCAAAAAGCACACAGGATGCAAGAAATCATTGTGTAATGATTGCCACCTTTATAATGACAGACATAAAATAATGTCCTGCCTAGGGTGTCTCCCTGCCTTTACCTGGCCTCTGCCAGCTGCTCTGACAGGCTTTGTCCATCCTGCTCCATGGCTGCCAGTCGCTTCTCTAGGATGGCCTTTTCATGCACCAGCAGGTCCTTCTCTTCAGACTCCTGGGCCACAGTGTGTCCTGGGTGAGAGGACTCGTGGTGCAGCTGCTCCAGGCCACGGCAAGCTGACTCCTCCTGGCTGGAAACCTGAAAGTGGGACAAGACGGTTAAGAGTCCTTTCTCTGGAGTTCTGTGCAGAGCCAGCCAGGACCAATTCTGAATCAGGTAGAGGAAAAAGAGCTCCTGTTCTATGGGCTGAAAGTTAAAGAGCATCTGCTGTTACCACACCAATACACTGGCTGCCACGAGGCACTGGCTCTGTTAACTTTAATGGGATGTGCAAGGCCCTACGAGGTTGCCCTGGGCCAGATAGCTCCTTCATAACACACATGCACACCCTGTGGCTTCCTGCCTGCCTGAAGTGGTTTTTGAAGACAGAAAATGTTTAGTCAAATTGCTGTGTTCCCTTCACTGCTGTTAGAATCTACCACTTCCCTCCCTTTGCTGGCTATCTCAGGAGCTCATGGCAGCTTCTGGGCATAACACTGTCCTGACTGCAGAGAGGAAGGGACAGAAGGGCGTTACTCAATGTGAGCAGCTCTCCCCAGTCTCCCACTGCTGACCTGTCACAGCAAGGTATCCTCAGCTCCAAACACAGATGGGCAAACTCACCGTGCTGCTTTCAACCCCCAGGGAGCCAACTCCCGTTTTCCTCTGTCGTCCCTTCAGGGAGCCGTTTTGTTGGGCTCCACCAACCAGCGCTACACGCTCCCCCTCCAGCAGCGCCCCGCAC